CCTGTTTTGCCATGTTTTAATCATTGTGTATAGGTTTGCCTCCAGCACCAAACTCTAGGCTCCTGGAGAGCATATTATATTTGATCATCGTGTAGCTGTAATGACAGCAGCTGCATTTTGAGCACTGACTGGACTGGCACTGTCCTGAGCAATTTATATCTAATCTCAGCAGCCTGTGAGAGGGCATTGTTGTCCTTTCCCTTTCACAGAGGGAAGAAGTAACAGAAAGTACAGAGAGATTAGGACTGACTTGCCCAGTCGCTCATCCGGGCAGTGGCAGAGCTGGGACATGAACCTGCAGTGGAGACCCGAAGCCCACGCTGTGCTGGGGAAATGTGCATGTGCGAGTGGGAAGGGTACTCTCCCTGAAATCTTGAATTCCTAAAAACTTTCCCAGAAGTTTTCCCCTGCTCTTGGAGGAGTGGTGTCCTCAACATCCTTTGTTCTCCCCACCCTCTCCCCGAAATATTTGTCAGAAAAATCTTGAAGTACTAGCAGCAGCTTTATATTCCCCAAATAGTCACTAAATACTTGCTGTGCAAGGGCAGTGCAAAGTGGAAATAGAAGGTTTGTTGCGAACTCTCTGGGTAAGGTGCACATAATCATGTTGTGAAACAGAAGGTGGCAAATGCCCCAGGGATTTAGGGAGAGTGACACTATTACAGCTAGTGCTGAAGGAGGTGGGTCAGAGGCTTTGCTGAGGAGGTGGCATTTGAGCTGAGCCCTGACAAGCGGTAGAATTTGACCCTGTGCATCTGGGAAGAAGCAGGTCATTAGAGCCTGATGGGTGAGCAGGAAGGGTGTGCTGGAAGATACGTCATGAGGGGAAGCCACAGTAGTGACGATGAAAAAAGTGACTAGGGGCCAGATGGGGGACGGAAGGTAGTGTCATGGACAAACCTAAGGAAATGATAGGCAAGGCTGGTGTGAAGGAGAAAACAGAGAAAGGGATGTATTTGGAACATTTCCTTTATTTGCAGTTCTTCTGGCAGATAATTTAATTGGTGAATGTCCAGCAGGTATTTGGAACTGGAGGTTTAGAGCTCAAGAGAGGTAAAACCTGGAAGCTTTTGTTGCAACAAATAGTTAAGCTTACAAAGGGAGAGCAGATACAAAATAAGAGAATGAGTTCTAGAACCCTGTAAGACACCTGTATTTATGGGTTAGGAAGTCCCATGAGTGGGACTGATGGTGCCTCCCACACTGTCAGTGAAGCTAGGCCCCAGGGCAGTGGGAAGGATGGGCCAAGGGTGCTCATGCAGGGTTCAGCTCGGAGAGGAGATGGGGGGTGCTATGGAGAGTTGGCATAGAATGGAGGGCAGGGCAGGGCATTCATATTGGCAGTAAGGACCATCTAAGAAGCTAAGAGGGTCGGAAGTGGAGAAGGCAGAAAAGGTTTGCAAATATCCCATAGTATACCTCCAAATAACATAATGAGTTATTTGGAGGTAAATAAAAGAATTACTAAGTTTAGTTCTGTGGCTGTTGCCACTATTTCTCTGTCTTAGTCCCCACCCCATGCAGATTACAGGCCTTCCCTTCCCAGAGCCTGAGCGATCTGTGCAGGACTCCCAGCCTCAGTGCTCCCAGCTACTAGTCCTAAGTCCACCAGGCCTTCCCCTCATGTCCTATCTTCCAGCACACCCTTCCTGGTCACTCACCCGATCCATAACTGTTTTCCCCAATGAAGCCCTCTCCATGTGTTTTTCTAAATGGACCTTCTTTATAGATGCCACAGGCCTTCCTGAGCTACTTTCTGGCAACCCAAGACTGGAATATTAACCATCCACTGACCCACAAAAACCTTCATTGCTAGTCAGTTACTGTCTTTCAGCAAATTTAAAAGATACTTTATTTGTGGACTCTTGCAGTGATTTTGGCTACTTCCGTCCAGAAAATGACTCCAAGTGTGTGGAACAGCCAGAGCTGAAGGGCCACGACCTAGAGTTTTGTCTGTATGGCAGAGAGGAGCACCTGACCACAAATGGGTGAGATGGCATTCTCCTTTGTGACAAATGAGTACCCTTGTTTGGAGCGAAAAGCTGCTTTTCTCCACACAGAGATCTGTGCAGGGCTTTAGGGTGCTCTAGGAAACACTGTCTAATAGAACTTTCTGGGATGATGGAAATGTTCTGTCATCTCCTGTGTCTGGTATAGTAGCCACCAGCCCTGTGGCTACTGGCACTAGTGTGACTAAGGATTGAATTAATTTCTGTTAATTTAGACGGAGCCTCATTGGCTCCCTCCCCCTCCTATTTTCGAATGGGGTGTTAATGTGCTCTCCTGGATCACAGACCTTTGGCACAGTCTCTTAAGGCAGAAAGGCAGGCATGTCCCTGCAGCCAGGCCTGAAAACACACAAAATATCCCCAACACATCCCTGTGGATCTCCCCCCAGGCCTGAAAGATGGTGTAAGGATGAGGAGCTTTTCAGATCTTGTTTTTAGGAAATAGGCAAGAATTTAGTAATGTATCCTTGTATTCTGTTAACAAACTTTCTCTGCCTTTCAGATACCGGAAAATTCCAGGAGACAAATGCCAAGGTGGAGTGAATCCAGTTCGAGAGGTCAAAGACTTGAAAAAGAAATGCACAAGCAACTTTCTGAGTCCAGAAAAGCAGGTATGTCCAGGTAGATGTGGATTAGGTACAAGTGGGGTTCCGTGATCTGTCAGGCTTCCCTTCGCACAGGAAACTGTCAGGGTGAAGGATGGGTCATATAACCCAATAAGCTCATCTACTGAAGTTTTTTGTTGAGAAAAAATAGTACTGTATTTCATTGAGTGGTTCCAGTTTTAGAAGCATAGAGTTGAGGACATTCTGAGGCTCAGGGTCCTTTGGGAAAAAGACTCAAGAAGTTTGGCTGTAAAGGGCTGGACTTTGCACGTGTGAAAGAGAAGAGCACTGGGCCATAGGTAGGGTGGATCTCTGTGCCAGGTCATGCCAGGTATGCTCACAATGAAAAACTGAACAGTGGTAATAACGGGCTGGTTTTGATATAGAAGCAGATTATGGGGCTGACTACAGATCTGTGGTACTGAACTATCTGCTGGAATTGGGGGGTGGGTAAAGAAGAAACCCCGATAAAGAAACACTACACCAGCAGTGTGACTTGGGGCAGTAAACTGCGGGTCCCGGTTTCCTAATCTATAAAATGAGAGAGGGACAACCTGCAGTCCCCTCTTCTCTAACCTCTGAGGGATGAGGGCCTGACAAGGGGCAAGGTGAAGAAGGCAGTGGAAGAAGAATGCGTGCGTGTGTGTACTTGTCAAGGGGCAGGGTCCTCCTCTACGCCCCACCCTGCACTCCTGGTGGCTGTCCTCAGAGTGTTTGTGGGTGTGATTGCACAGGACTCCCGCCCACAGGGACACAACTTGTCCCAGAATCCAGCTCAGCCTCCTCTTGGATACAATGAAAACACACACTCCCTATTTCCCCACCCAGAAGCAAGCAGGTCACAATGATATGAGAAGGCTTATTTGTAAAAAAAAAAAAATACCAAAAATTAAATAAAAAAAGATATATGTGATATAGCATTCGCACAACTTCTTTCCAGCTGATGGCCCTGTTAGCCCACTGTTACCGTCATCTCCCTTTCTGGCTCCACCCTTAAAAGCTCTGACTTATAGACAGTGATGGTAGAAAACAGTCACATTACCATTTGATCTAGGAAGTTGCCAAGGCTTCCAGTGTAACTCTGACATTGACACCACTGAGACTGCACCATTCTGGCAGCTTCAAGGTAGTCGAAGTTCTGGTGACCCTCTGCCAGGTGTGATTCTCCTGGTTCATCCTCCCGAGATGGTTCACGTGGGGGTTGAAGACTAGTATCATGAAGTGCCTAAAGACTGTAGATCACTCAGGGAAATGAGGGGAATCAGCAGCATCTTTGAATTCAGTCCTAGAATATTCATGCCTGAATTTTTTTTGTGTGTGTTTTCATTTATCAAGAATTCCAAGTCAAATTCTGTTCCAATTATCCTGGCCACCGTGGGATTGATGCTAGTCACAGTTGTAGCAGGAGTGCTCATTGTGAAGAAATACGTCTGTGGGGGAAGGTAAGGAACATGGAAGTCAATCAAAGGTACTGCCATCAAACCAGAAGTCAGCCAAGGGCACATGGTTGAGTCTGACCTTAGCAAAAGAAGTGACATTCTGAAACGCCAGGCCCAAGTCCTCTGAGATCTTGTATTTTCCGTAAGCCAACTATGGGTCTGCTTCCTGTATGTGTGACTCCTTCTCTGAGAGTATAAAACTCGGAAAAGCTGGTGCTATAATAAACACACCCTCCTCAGCACATGGGGATTCATGAAGGGTTGTATTCGCAGGTTCCTGGTGCATCGGTACTCCGTGCTGCAGCAGCATGCAGAGGCTAATGGTGTGGACGGTGTGGATGCTTTGGACACAGCCTCCCACACCAATAAAAGTGGTTATCATGATGACTCAGATGAGGTGAGCCATTTCTTCTTGAGGGTGATCCAGAAGTTAAAAAAAAGAGTGATTCTTTTCTGTGCATGATCAAGATGTGACTGAGACAAATGAGGGTATAAGCTAGAAGCAGAAACTTAATGACTATGACTCGGTCAGCCAGAAACGAGGTAATTGTTTTCAAAATAGGAATATTTTAATCTGTTAAACAATATAATTTATGTCTTTCAGGACCTCCTGGAATAGCTCACTTCAAAGGAGCTGGGACCGCACTTGGATGATGGAAACACAGTACCTCTTACACTCCCTGTGGCTCCGACTTGGGGAAATAAATCTCCCATTGCGAGGGATCCAGCTCTGTTCCTGCTGCTTCCGTCAGAGCCAGAAGGACCTCTACTGAAGACATGCAGGGGGCGGTGGGGGCAAAACCCTAAACACTCACAATTGGCTCTGAGAAGAGGGGGAGACATTTTTAAATCTTTAACCTCTGATTTCAAGTTGTCTTTTTGCAAAGTATGGGCTCTTTGGGGTTTGTTTTTGTTTTTTACGGGAAATGAAATGGAATTTGAAGGGAACATTTCACTAACTGTACTCCTGCATGTTTTGCATGGCGCCTGCCCCAGGGCACCTGCCAACTCCAGCATCAACCCTCACAAGTAGCCGGTGCGGTCCCTAGGCTCTGCTGGTGACACAAAGCAGCTGCAGAGATGAAGACGGAGGCGCTGGTGACTGGCATGACTGGGCAGCCTTTCTGCCTCTGGGGACAGCCCTCCTCCGAGAACGCTGCCACCAGATCCTCCCTTTTTATTTTTTCCAGGGACCATAGATCAGTGATTTTTCTTTTTCCTGCTTAATTAGGCAATACCCTTGTTAATTGCCCTTTGGTGACTAACTTAACCATGTGCTTCCAAGACACTAAATCAGGAGAACTTAAAGGGCAATATTTTTAACTAGGGGCAGGAAGAAGGGCGCAGCAGGGAACTGACTAGATAGAGCACTATGAAAGGAGAAATCCTTCCTTCCTCTGAGATCTTTCAAGCCATGCTGTGTGTGCCTGCAGACCTGCTCAAGGACAGGGCGCAGGGCTTGCCCGGGGTGTCTGCTCAGGCAGTGCAGCGCCTGAGGACGGAACATGGGCTTCCTCGTGCCCTGCTGCCTGCTGTGTTGGCTCAGTGGTGAATCATTCAGTTGGCTGCTTATATGTTTCCTCTTAGGTGGCTTGTACGTGGAGCCAGGACTAGACATGTTTTCAGATTTATAGGCTTTATTTTTTAAATCAGAATTTTATTGCCAGCTCTCTTCCTTGCCCCTTCTCCCCAGATTTGCCAAGTAATTTATTGGCATGAACCTTTTGGCTGAACCAACTGAAAACGCTTCCAGTGTAAGATGAGGTTTTGTGTGATACATTAAGTTCATATTTTAAATTTAAGGGAGTTTTCCATTTGACATTTATTTCAAATTCAGTCAATTATAGAATGTAGTGAGGTGGATTTTTGGGTGGCCATCTAGTCATGGAAAGCTGCAATAATTAATTTTAATATGGCTTGAATATTTGCTATACAGGAATATAGTATAGTATGCTTTTGGTCTTGGCGTACCTGCTGTGCTGGTCACGGTTTCTCCTAATAAGTAAGATTGGGACATTCTCTGGTAACTGCCATTTTGCTGCTAGTTCATTTTATGGCCAGAAAGCCCATAAAAAGTAAATGTGCCAAATTAACTTTTGTCAGAATGTGTGAGCAGATGGCTAAAGTTCTCTCCTCACCAGAATGGAATAACAGCAGCAGGGAAAGTGGGGGAGGGAGTGGACAGAGAATTGTAGAGACTTGGAAACTGCATAAAATTAAATGAGTCAATGAGCTTCAGTTAGAAAATAATGTTAGGGAGAACAGTTTTTGTGAAGAAAATTAATATTTGTTAGAGCCAGAGAGCACTCATCTTTTAGGAAAAGCTCATTAATTTTGCAGGTTTTTAAATAAAAATAATTCCAAAGATAAACCAGTTCACAAAGGATAGAGTGTCAGCCTTTGTCCCACACATCCTCACCTCCTGCCCAAAGTGAATTTTTTAACGTGTTTTTTAAAATTGATTGCAGAGAGAGGAAGGGAGATGGAGAGAGGAATGGAAACATCAATATGAGAGAATAATTGATCAGCTTCCTCCTGCATGCCCCTTACTGAGGATCAAGCCCACAACCTTGGCAAGTGCTCTGACAAGGAATCAAACTCTGACCTCCTGGATCATGGGGCGATGCTCAACCACTGAGCTGGGCCTGCCCAAAGTGAATTTGATGTCCAGAAAAGATCTATTTCACCTACACCTTTTCCCCTAGCATATACTCCCTGGGGTAGACGTGCTGAGATACAGTGATTCGCTAATCAGCTTTAATTTATAGGAAAGTTAATATTCTTCTCTAAGCATATAAGAGTAGGGCTCTTTGCTTATAATGATACCTGGGATTTCTGTAGAAATTGGTAGTTTTCAGAGCAGCTTCACTTGCAATGTGTCATTTGAACCTCAACATTCTTGTGAAATAAAGAAAAGATAGGGTTGTATTTCCCATTTTTAGGAGAGAGAGCTGAGGTACAAAAATGGATTAAATTGCCCCTGTATATCACGAGCAGTGTGGGCTGGAACATGAACTCTGGAACATTTTGTGTGCAGGTGCTGCCTCCCTGAACAGGCTCCTTCCTTGCAGACTGGCTGTTCTGTGGGGCAGGAATCGGTGGCATTTCTTTCAGAGCAGTGTTTAGTGCCCTTTTGCCACCTTGATAAAAATTCTATTCTCCTGTTTTTCCTGGCTAAAAACAATGATAGTTTTGATAGTGTGTTTAGAAACTGCTTCTCACCTCATTTAGGGTCACTGTTCAAGAGTGCAGGAATAAACTCTCCACTGTGAGTCACTTCCATTCTCCTCATTTCCCATCCCTGGCTGCCTAGCTGGCTCAGTTGGTTTGAGGACTGCTAACAAGCCTGGTGTATTCCCTTTATCAGCTAGTGTTCTACATCAGCCTGCTCACTCACAAGTATATGTCCTCAGCCAATGAGCAAAACAGCCTAAATCCATGATTGCATCTAAGAAAAAAAGATCTCTAATTTGTCCTACTGATGTTGGGTTAGGAGCATTATCTTTGAAAGTAAAGTATAGCATATCATTGTAGAAAGTTCCGGGCTTGATTATAGCAGAAGAGATTATTATTTCTAGTGGCTTCAGCAATAAAATTTATCATCATAAGAGAGATTGGACATATCAGACCATCCAAAGTGGGTCTGAGCTCTTAAATGCAGGTGGAGAACTTGCCATCTTTCCTGCTCTGTGGAGAGGTATCTTAGACCTGAGGGGGCTTTTGGTTTTCAGTGAGACCAGAGACCAGGGATGCATACACCTAGGCTGTCATTTGGATGGAAATACACGTAGAAGAATAAAGCGTTTAGAGTGTGTGGCTGTTCTAGGTTGGGCTCGGGAGATTCAATAGGTTAGTTATTACATAGAACCTGCCAGGTCTGGCTCTGGGCCTCTACATGCCCAAGCTGGCTTCTCACCCTGACAGACTAGTAATTTGCTGGCCACCTCCAGCTCCTGCTGGTTCTCCCAAGGCCTTTGTCATGATACCAGGGATACAGAAAGGTGTTGGCTTGTCCAGACCCACCTCAAGTGGCAGGGCACCTGCCACCCCAGTTCTTTATTTTCCAGGCACATCATCCAGGTAGAGATTCTCTCTTCCCTTTTAGGAGGGCTCTAAGCGCCCTGCCCCTGTGTGCATGGGCTCAGAGCTCACCCTGCTAATTGTCGGTACAGCCCCCTCGCCCCACTTGAAGCCTGGGGACTTGGAATTGCTCAAATAGGAAGAGATTCAGCTTTCAACTTTGCTACTACCTTCTCTCAAGCAGGAAAATAAGCATGGACTGAATGTCCTTTGAACAGAACCAAAGTTTCAGATTTGCCACATGATGGAGTGACGGGAGGGGCCAGACTTTCAGCCCTGGCACTCAGCAGGTGCCAGGCTTTCTGTCCCATCTGCCACCGTTTGCCCAGCTCAGGCGGCTCTGGGAGCACCATCCTGCCCAGAAGAGCCCAGGCCTTACCCTCATGGAGGGTGATTGAAATCGCAGCAGCATGTTGATTTCCTGGTTACATCACATTATAACAAGAATTGGAACATGAATTTGAAATTATCTTCAACTTGCTGTATGCATTTTTTCACACCAGTGCATTCTTAAGCGTTCTTGTTTATAGAAAATAACAAACTAATCTGTACCTTTATATATATGTACATATATACATGTATAAACTGTATAGTGTACATGCTAATGATTTATTGATGTGTCCCAGATCTCTACTGCAGTTCTCTTCCGCATGCCCTCCGTTTGTGGTCACCCACCTCCTGTGTTGGACATCTAGGGAAGAGGGTTTAGCCGTACCCTCCTCCTCATCCTCCTCCTCATCCTCGTGCACAGAAATGCTCAGGGTCCCCATGTGCCTGTTGTTCAAACCCCTCTTGTCTCTTGCTCCCTTTCTGAGCATGTGGTCCCTCTTGTTCTGTATCTTTGCCTCTTCCCCAAACTAGGGGACAGCTGCCTTCCTACTAAAGTGTAAAGCAGTTATTAAGATCATTACTGCATGTGCGCTAAAAACAAACCAGTCTTCTGTTCCCTTGGAACAGAAAATTGCATGTGAGGTGGGATAATCAAGTCTCAACAACCCATGTCATTTACACAACAAAGCCAGACCCCATAATAAAATCCCAGAAAATGGAAACAAAACTCAACTTTCTTTAGCATTGTGTAAATAAATTTGGATGTGTTTAACTTTGTACTGGTAATTTTCTGTATATTTGCAATATTTGGGTTAGAAATAAAACAGACTGGGACTTTGTTACCTGACCTACTGAAATGACTAAACTACAATTTGTTACTATGATAGCTTTTCCAGTTTCTTGCTTCGGCAATCAAACCAAACCAGCACACAAGCCAATTAGAGTGCCAGGACTGTGCATTTATGGCATGAAAGGTATTAAGATAATTTATGGGGGAAACTACTTACTTTTTTTCTTCCTCTTTATGCTCATAAAGATCTACTTCCCATGGGTATTTGTAGGGCCAGCTTTTTGTTCTTTCCCCCAGAAAGTCTAACTGACCCACCCTGCCCCCTTCTCAGGTTTCAACTGCTTTACTTTTCCTCTGGACACAGCAACAAACAATTACTCTCCTGAATTATATGTTCCTTATAGCAGGTTTGACAAATGACAACACTGAAGTTTAACTTTGGTATCTTTCCATTTGCTCCTCTTACATTTCTCTTGCTGCTCTTATTCACAGTCCTTCCTGATCCATTTCATTTAAGGCCTTTCAAAGAGTTGCCCTTTCCTCTCATCCAAAATATTTCTTTTAGGAGAGGTTCATGCTGACCCCGCCCTCCCTCCCTCCCTTGAACCTGATGAACAGGTTCCTGCACCCCAAAGTATGTGTACAGTGTGTCCTGGTCCTGAGCCCCTATATAAGTCACAAAGAGGGCTTCTGTCCCACATCCCAAGACTAACACAGACTATTGGGATCCTACTGACTCTGCCCCCAAATTGAGAGCTAAAAGGTAACCATGAGTAAGGAGCCTATTCATTCAACCACACTCACTTTTCCTTAAAAAAAAATAAGGGCCTAGTGAGGAGGGGTATATGGGAACTCCATATTTCCATTCAACTTTGCTGTGAACCTAAACCTCTAAAAATATAGTCTATATAGAAATAGAGATATATATACCAAGGAGATACACAGACTGGCTTCTGGGGATAAAGAGCACAACAGGAAACCAGATCATTTGGATGGAGTACGCACATGTAGAACGATGGTTTGGTAAACTGGAAATCATATAGGACCTTCAGTATGTAAGTAACTTGACACCTACTGTGGGTTGGCCACTTCCCTACATTTTTATCACTTTATCCTCAACTCAACCCTAGCCTCATTATCCTTGTTTCACAGACCAAAGACCTGTCGTTCAGAGGCAGTGATTGGCTCAGAGTCACCTAGCTAATGAGTGAGCGGTATAGCCAAAAGTCACACTCAAGTCTTCTGACCTTATGCCCCTGGCTCTCCTCCTCCCCCTGCTGCCTCTCACTTTCTTTGTACTTTATCTCCTAGGCCAGGAAGCTTTCAAAGGGGCAAGTGCCCTGACCTAAAAATAGCTCATATTTATCGAGCACTTAGTCAGCTATACTCTGCTAAGCACTTTACACAGATTGTCTCTCTTAATCCTCACAGCAACCCTATGGTTACTATCATCTCTATTTTTCAGATGAGGAAACACAACTAAGACTGATGTGTCACAAGTCACACAACTAGTTGGTGATGGGCCAACATGAGCCCTGGTAGTCTGGCTCTAGAGTGCAGACTACCTTCCACTGTCACTAGGGAGAGGGGGAGAGAATGGGGACATACCCTTGAAGGTCAAGTTGACAAGCCCTGGCCGGTGTTGCTGAATGGTTAGAGCCTTGGCCTGTGCCCCTGAAGCCACCCTGAAGGGTGGTAGGTTCAATTCCTGGTCAAGGACACACACCTGGGTTGGAGGTTTGCGCTCCCACCCGTTGGGGCATGTGTGGGAGGCAATCAATAGATGTGTCTCTCCACATCAATGTTTTTGTCTCCCTCCCTCCCTCCCCACTTCCACTCTCTCTAAAAATCAATGGAA